ATTTGAAGTTGGAGTGGCAATTATGTTCCAGAACTAATCATTCAACATCAGTATCTGACCTCACTAATGCACTTGAGGCTGAATACAATCAGACTTTCCCAGCAGTGTTTCAAGATCTAATGTAACGCCTTCCCAGATGAGTAGAGCCTGTTACTGCAGCAAAGTGGGACAGATGAAATCCCTATTAATGTCCTTAATTTTACAAGAATTGTTGAATGAGCAGGTGTCTACACACTTTTGGACAATGTGTTTATTATGTGTGTTCATAATGTGTTCACCTTAATGATGTGTTTATATCTGGATTCCCCATCTCTTTCAGAATGGAGTGTTTTGTATGTGACAATAGCATCGTTCATGATAGTGGTTGCCATAGCCACTCTGGTCTGGGGGCTGGTGTGTTGCTGTAACAGGTAAAGGAGATGGTGACGATAATGTTTTTAAAGGAGCAATATTCAGAATTACCCACCTGAATATATGTGTCTTGCTAAAGATATTGAAGCATATCAATAGCAAAATGAAAATGAAAATGTAATGTGTAGAATAATGGAAATGCAGTTGTATGTTTGAATTTAAATTACTCACTCATATGCGGTTTTGGACTTAACCAATTTGATTTGGCTTTGTTACACTAGTCTTGACACTTCACTTCCACAGACATTTTGACTCTTCATGAGTAGCTTTATTTAAATGAACGTTTAATTAAAAAAAAAAAAAAATACACTTTACTAAAATTACAGTTTTGAACATGTTTGCTATCTCTCCAGCCTGGTGTTCTCTTTGATCATGCTTTCAAATGCCAAAAGCAATATAAAATACTTCAAGACATTGTCTCAACATCCGATATGCATCAAGATATTTAGTTTTTCTGAGATTTGATAAGTTAGAACAGGCGGAAAATAAGCCCCAGTAGATCCACATTTAGAAAATATCAAATTATATAAGTACAATTATTTTTATTCATTGTTTCACATACTGCACTACACTAAATCCATTATAAAATGCAGTTGGTCAGTGTTCTTTATACACTGATGTTATTCATGATATGCTCAGAAAAGCATGTTGTGATATAAAGTAACGTAATTTATCACAATAATGATAAATATTGCCATCCTGTCCACCCTTACGAATGCATATGAGGCAAATGGCATTTTAACTATTATTTTGACAATATTATGGTCTAATCACATGAAAAATATTCATACCGTTTGGGAAAAACATTTTGAAATTAAATTAAGCTACTCATAAACCATCGTGCAAACGAATGGTCAATGCTAGTATACCAAATGGCAGTACTGAATTAGAATTTTCATTTTAAGTCCAAAATTACATGTAGTTGGAAAATTAAATTCAAACAGAAATACATTGCCATTTTTATTTAAATTTTGCTGCTGATATGCTTCCTTAGTTACAATGCGTTTAACTGACAAATACATGCTAGCTGTTGTCATTCGCCGTTTCCTGTATTTGGGACAATTTTGTGTAGTATACGTCTAGAGATGTGGAGTGTACAGTACATTGTACATATACATGTGTAGTTATACAATATGTGCAAACATTAAAAATATTGTACATTTTCATTATTAATGGCTGCAATCTTTATGTACGTTGTCTGCATTTATTTATGTGGTTCATACTGATATGTGTGTATGTGTCTGGGTGTGCTATGTTTAGACGCAAAGGAAAAGTTAGACGGAAAAGTCGATATAAAATACTTGAAGGAGATGACCAGGATAGCATGGAATTACATCCACCTAGAGCTGGTAAACATATTTTCAGAATATCATACAAACATCATTCAAAGACTTAGAAGAATTGAATCAAGATTCTCTGTCTTTGTTTTCTCTCTCTTCCAGGCCGGCTAAAGGCAGTCCCTGCTCCCACTTCCTCTGCTCTCATGCACTCAGACTCAGAACTGGACAGTGATGATGGTCAGGCTGGTGTCCCCTGGACTGACCGAGAGCGGGGCCAACTCCTGCGGCCCCAAAATGGGTCCCTGCGCAATGGCCAAGGGCCGCATAGAGCCAAAAAACAGAGGGAGGAGCTGCTATAGCGACATCCAAACCCTTCGTTGTATTTCACATGGACTTTATACCCCACGCACTGGCCATGTCACTTAGAAGACTCATAGTAGTGTCTGTGGGGAGATCTTTGAAGACTGAAGGCTAGCCTCTCCCACTGCCGGCCCAAACTGAATCTCTGCCCAATCTGAGCCAGAAGACGAGTGTGATTCAGTAACTAAGGCAAACACTGTCTTTATCCTGTCAGGAAAAAAAATCAGTAATGTGGAGTTGTCCATGCCCAGAGTCAATGAGAATGTATTAGCTACTTCAGAAGGAGTCATAGAATATGTGAAATGGGGGAGAGCTGTTTGAAAAAAACATGAAAACGTGAGCATAACCAAGTTCCTCTCTGAGAGAGACCCCAGTGGCATGTCACAAAGATAGTTGATAGACCCATTACCGCTAAGTTTTGTAAACTGGTGGTCTGTCCTTCTAAACACTGCCTTGAACACCCGCAAACTAGACAGCTTTCCTACACTTGTGGCAATAGTGCAGTCAAAGAGTACTGTCCTCAGCGCTGCACCCATCTCTGCCAAGTTGTGTGAGTGTGCATGTATGATTGTGCTGTGCAAGATTTATTTTATTGGATATAACGCATGCATTATCAGGTTGTGTATGTGTGTGCGCTAGTTTTGTCTGTATGGCCTTTTTGGCAATATTTGCTTGTCACACTTAGGTTTATCAACCTCTTTGCTACTCAAATCACCAGCAAACAAAAGTGAAGTCTGCTTAGCTTTGTTTGTAAGGGTTAAGAGGAGCATTTTCGCAGTTAAAGGAATAGAATGTGTGTTTTGATGGCTTGTCTCACACTGGAAAATTCACTGGAAGTAACACTGGACCTCACTTCTCTTTGGCCCTCAACTTTGTGTCTAAACTCCTGCAAAATAGACACAACAGAAAACAAAAACCTGACCTTGACTCTTAACCCAAGACTGTTTGAACCTTGTTGACCACTTTGTTGTCTTGTCTGATTTTAATTTTCTTTTAACTGGTCACTTGATTCTCTTGCACTTTGTTACACAAACTACTCGTCTGCTCTCACTGGTTGCTTTCTGAAACATGCTGATGCTCATTAGTCAGTTTAAGAATGCCTTTGATAAAGGCTTTTGTGATAATCTGTTTGATAGACGCTCCTTTTTCCATCGCTCCTCTTATGACTGACGAATGAGTGTATATTAACTGGACTACTTGAATGGAGCGTCCGCAAGTCAGGATGTTGTAGGGTGAGAGCTGAATCATTGAATGAGCCCTGTTTTTGTTTTTTTGCTTTTTGATCCAATTACATAAATATGAATGCCTTCCTCACAAATGCATGAATGGGTGATGTAGACCCTACTGAGAGCAGAGGGAAGAAAAATCTGAGGATTTTCCTCATTTTAAACTCATTGTTTTTAAGTGAAGGACTCCCTGTTCTATGTGACTCAATCAGATGAAACTGGATTATCATTAAATGAAAGTCAAGAAACTTTAAACCTACATTTTATGTCTTTTTTTTCCTGCTTTTCCAAACACATTGTAGGATTATAATTGCTGTGACATGATAGCATGAATATTGTTTGAATAGTTCACCTTGATCACCTTATCTCTTGTGCCCACTAACTAGAGTCAAGTCTTTCACACTTTCAGTGCTGTGTGCATATTTGTCCCCACTAGTTTTTAACTTCTGCAATCCCTGCAATTCACTGGGGGCGTACACCTAGAGACAGAACAGGTCTGAACAGGTACGCTCCATATTTGTGCTAAACAGAGTAAGACAGCAGCTGTGGTGTGGAACAATCTGTTGTGTTTTTTAGTTTAAAAATGTTCTGTCAAACTTGCATTTTGATATTTGTTCTGTTTGAAAACAAAGAGCAATCAGGATAATAAAGTGGCTCTAAAAGAAGGTATTTTGTGGGCCAAATAGTCCATCACAGACTTACATACTGTAAACTTGATGAGAATAATGTCTCTAAAATAGCAAAAAAGGGGGACAAAACTAAATATTTTTAAAGGAAAAAGGGAAATAAATTAGTAGTCTCTCTGGGACTACCATCTATAACAAAAAGAACCAGACTGAAATGCTCTAACTATATGGAAAAGTAGTGGACATTTATTTTTTATAAGCAGGATACATTTCAAATAAATAGTTTCATTAAAATATTGCAAAGATAAAAGTACATTAAACACAAAGTTAGACCATTTTCATACATAATGCACTTTACATATATTCATTGTTTCCATATGAGTAAGTTCAGGTGTATTTGGAAACAGTAAAGACCAGTAATATTTTTGTTTATATTAAGCATTTTTATAAACAGTAAAGCAAATACAATATATGACTACCTTTTTATTAAGGTGGATGGCAATAGACAAAAGGTGCCCCAACTTTTTGTTTTGTGTGTCCAAAGTGCATGTTTGTGGTGGGCCGAGGGCCAAAAGGACAAAATAATATACAAAGAAGGGAGGTACGTATGTTTCCATATGTATTTCATAACATTGCACTATATGTTGTTGCTAAAATATTAATAATAATTGAATAACTCAGACATAGTGTTTAAGAACGTAATAAACTATGCAGTATAAAATGCTTTTTATCTTAATTGTGTGAGGGAGTGGGGGTTAGGCTAATAGTTTGGTGGGCCAAAACATTGACGTGCAGGTCACACTTCCGGCAGCCCCGTAATAAACCATACAGCTAAGTGTAATAAATAAAGTGGGCAGAATATATGAGCAGAAATGCGTTGCATCCGCACGAGCTGTGTGAGAGTCCACACCCTATCGCTCATTGTTGACGTGCTCCAATTCAGTCTCATTCAGGTCTGAATTACAATAAGGAAGCTCCACCTTCAGCTGTGTAACACTTACAGTACTAACCACTTATTCTGCCCTGCGTTCATATATTTTTAACTTTTCTTTCTCATAGTTTTAAGACTCTCTCTCTCTCTCTGTCTCTGTCTCTCTCTCTGCCCTTATAAGGAAGCAGAGCGCTGAGCAGAGACAGGGCGGAAACGGTCACAGACACAGGAAGACTAGAGATACGGAACCACAGAGAGACCATAACACACCCACTGGAAGGGAATAAAGCCCCTCTTGGACTGTATCGACGGTTGTCACAAAGCGAAGGTAAGCTATGCAGTATGAAGCTCTTAAAGCCTAATTCGTCTCTCAGGAAAATGTGTGTAATTCGCACGGCTCTTCAGACGTGTTGAAGCGGCGGCGCTGCACGGTGACATCCATCCGGGCTAATGACAGGAAAAGCGGCGGCCTTAGCTGGAGTTTACTTCACCACGTTCACGGCGTTCGCTCCCTTTTCCTTTGTGGTGAAACCAGTCACCTGGGCTGGACGGATGCACTCATTTTTCCTTCATAGTAATAAGCGGCCAGAAATGAAAGTAACGTTAGCTGCTAATTCGACGGGTAGAAAGTTGCATGTTGAGCCTGCAGATCGGACAGGAGGGGCCGTGCAGGAGAGCTGAGGAACAAGGAACAGGGAACAGACTCCCAGCTAGTCTTGCTGTGCGGTTTATGTTTGCACAGATATTTTTCTGTAAGGAGATTTTTGTTCAGGCATGTAAAACGTCCCTTCTTCTGCCACCTTCTTTTATTATTGTGTATACTAGCTACGGTCCTAAATCCTATTATCGTCTGGTCATGGCTTGCATGGTAGCTCGCCAAAAGACCTGTTGGAAAAACCTTGTTTTAGACATCTTGTCTCGAACTGCAGTGGAGGTGGTCCTGCTCTTCCAGCCTCTGCCGAGAGAGGATGGGATCTGGCCTACTTCTCCCGAAGCTCAGGCAGAAATGACCTGTTTTCGTCCAGAACGCACTAGACTGCGCTTTCTCTCTTCATATGTCTGATGCAAATCTGTTTGCACCCTGAGGCTGTTCATGTATGAGCGCTCAGCTAGCGTGTTTGTGTCACTTCTCATGTAATAGTTTCTCTTGGTTTGAGATGTGAAGCTTCATCAAAGAATCATCCAGAACAGAAAGGGTTTCTCAGGTGTGGCATGGAGTCTTTACCTGGGTTCACAGGTTCTGAGACTGCTGCCTCCCTCAGGCCACATCTGCTGCTGAATCAGAATCCGTGCACGAAACATTGGTGACCATAAAGCCTAACTAGGATTTGAGGTGATATTGAGTCAGCCATAACTGCACCAACTGTGTAATTGCTGCTTTACAAACAGTGTAAATATGTATGGGACTGTTTAGCCAGAGTTTTCAGGACATAAGTAAAGGGAGGCTGGAAATTTTGCAGTAGTGCTCCTCGAGGACTGAGGTCCGTATTCCTGCGCTAGTAGTTTGTCTCAGATTCTGAAAGGAGCCTATTTGCCTGGTCTTATTTGAATATGCGCATTCGTTTGCTTTGCAGTGTAAACCTGTAGAAAAGACGGTAATGGAAAGAAGACTTTATCGTAATTTATTCATTTTAGTCTTTTGCATGTATTCACCCAATTTGACAAGCAGAAATAGTGCAAGCACATGGGGTTGATGAGGGTGGACACGGAGGAACACAGTGTTAACTTTCTGATAGTCAGATTCTCTCATAAATGATAGTTTACCTGCATTGGCCCACTGCTGTGTGATAGACTACACAGTTTAAAGCAGGTATACACTGCAAATCCACCAATTCAGAATGTAATTGGTTAATATAACCTCTGCTAATAGTTTCATTAATAAGATCAGGGGTGGGTGTCCCCCAAGGAATAGAAAGAGTTCTAATGAGAAGCAGATGATTTAGTGGCACAGCTGGGCACCTGTGTTTTTCTATGCAGAGTCATTCAGGTGGAGGTTATGAGTCAGCCTCTGGGATTGGCGGATCAGGTTTCTGTTACATAATCTTGGCCTGTAGGCTGTGTGTACATGAGGGAAAGTAGGGCCTTGGGGGAAATGAAGATCTTCCTGCTTTAAAGCTCTTGCACAGTTAGGCAAGGCCACTTTTAGTGTGTCAGTTGCAAATGAAAGATGTTTAGAGGTTTCTCAATATCGAAAAACTGTCTGAGATGTGGTAGACATAGTGGAAATGCTTTCTTATGTAGAGTCTAAATTTGAGAGTATGAGGCTTCATACATTCCCAAGAGGCAGGATTTAACTAATCTAATCTTGCGACTACTGCCACCTGTCTTTTTGCTGTTTGAAGTAGTTTACTGTTTAGAATAATCTAATGTGACTTGTTTTTTGAATAAACAACCAATTTGTGATAACAAGAATGAGCATCTGCACGAGCCAAAATCACAGAATGGTTTAACTAGGGCTGAATGGTAAATCATTGTTCAGTCATTATTGAAGGTTTGGCCTTTGCCATGCAACCACTGCAGAAGGCTGTAATATGCAAATCAGAATTTTGTGGTTTGTAGTGTGAGCATCGTGACCAGCCTCAGACTTTCCAGATGACCTTTTTCATTGAGATTTTATTTGATTTGATGAGTCATGTAGTGATGCAGCAATATGGGAATTGTGAGCTGATAGTGATATCTGATTTTCTATGTACGTATATGGCAATGCCAATACAGAAACATAAAAACACTGTAAAAATTGGCACTAAGGAGTAAAGGCATTCAGGAATGCTGTAATAATTAGTTATTTGTAGAGGCCTGCAAATGCAGTGGAATTCTGATTTTATTTTTATTTTATTTTATTTTATTTGCACTGTAGCCCAGCATCACCTAAACATTCTATTGTGCCAGAGTGCACAAATGTTAAATGTTATCTAACATCAGTCAAAACTAATTTTTAAAAACATTTTTTTAAGCAAATATTTGTTGGTACAATATGATTCCGATATCATTGTGTGTCCCTAGAATCAAGACATTCAGGAACCCTAGAACAAATGTATTGGTAATTGGTAAAATAAATATTGGAATCCAGTCTTTAATTATGTTTCATCTTGGAATCACTGATGTATTTTTGATAAATTTCAAGGCATGTTACAATCACACATCAATATAACCGCAATACTGTATTTCATCAATGTCATGTAGGCCTAGTGTTCACCTTGGTTCTCTTGTCCTGTTGGTTAGATGCAGTGTGACATCATATATGAAATCCTCTCTCTTATGATGTTGGTAACATTACCATGATTGACAGGATCTTTGTGTTTGCATGTTGTAGGCATGGCAGAGCTGGCGAGTCTGGTGCAGCGGTTGGAGGTGGCTGTGGGCCGTTTGGAGGCTGTATCTGGCACTGGAGGTGCAGGCGGCTCTGCTGCTGGCGCTGGAGGTATTAAACACCCAATACGATCTCATTCTTTATCACTGAATAACTGCAAACCAGTTTAATTTTATTGGAGTGCACAGGCCCTCTCTTTCCTGAACCTGAGCTGTTTTCAGATCGTAAAGTCAGCAGTGCCTGTGTGTGTGTGTGTCTTTCATAGCTTCACATCTGCTAACACTCTGTTCTCTTGCTGCAGCTGTGTCAGCATACGTTGAGGCCTTTGATGCCTTGATCTCTGGTCCTGTGGCCGAATACATCACCCTGAGTCAGAAGATAGGTGGAGATGTCCAGAAGCATGTATGTTCCACCATGCTAATAGACCAGCTCTTCGACAATACAGTGTATGCTTAGCCATACATCTGAATAATGGCTGGGTTACTTCTGTTTTTTTCTTGTCTTGTTTTTTTTGCAGGCTGACATGATGAAGCAAGGCTTTTCCTGTCAACGGCAGGTTCTAGTGACGGCCTCCTGCTCCCAGAAGCCCTCTGATGTAAGTAATAGTTGATGTAGTAAAATTCTTTGTCCCACTTTATGTGGATGGTCCTTTGTAAGATATTCTACAGGTGCTCCTTTTATCAACAAACCATCTATATGAAACACATTTGATTCTCAGGGTAAGAACCAGGTTTGGGGTTAGGATTAGAATTACTGTTTGGGTCAAAGTTAAAGCGATGCTGTGTAGTTTTTTGGCATTTGGAAATCTCTTTGGTGGAAATGTTTAATAGCACATAACGTCCAGAAGAGCATTTTGTAATATGGGTTGTGCTTTGGACCCCTTCCTTCAGTGCATGAGTCTGATGTCTGTGAGCACATTTAAAGAGTATTCAAAGAGAACTCTTTGGTGATGGATGTGTCTTCAGAAGATTTAAGTAAATGATCCACTATTGTCATCATATCATCATCATCATCATCATCATCAGCATGATGCTGATTTTTGCATTTGAGATTAAACATCAAGCCAAGACCTCCTTTTAAGCCTGTATGTGTGTCGTCAATGGGTTAAAAACGTATGACGTGGTCCAAAAAATTTCCACAAAATTCAACCTGACGCCTCTGACTTTTAATTAGTATTTCAGGCTTTACAGGGTGACTTTTTACATTTTAGCATGTTGTTTGGTTTTGTTTTTTCCCCTTCCTGACTTAGTAATGCTACTAATTCCAATTGTAACAAACAATCTTGCATAGTGTCGTATTATTTTAAAATTAAGAGTGAGTTTTACATTTAAGGTCAGGAAAAGGTCAAGGTAATGTGTGTATGTGTGTGTATGTGTGTGTGTGTGTGTGTGTGTGTGTGTGTGTGTGTGTGTATATATATATATATATATATATATATATATATATTTGTTCTTACTTCCTGCTTCCTCACTCAGTAAGAGAGAAAAATGTTTTTTCTATATACAACATATGCAACATATACAACATTATTTTCCTTATTGTATTGTATTGACAAAATATATTGTTATTCTTTTTTTTTCTTGTTATTTTTATCAACTTGATTTAAAACCTACCTACCTTCCTTATGTTATTTTGGCTTTTTGGCCCCTTATCCCCATACAAACTTTGTACTTTGTACAAGACAAAATGTTTGGGCACCTTTTTAGTGTAGTTAAATGTAATTTTATTACAACTCAGACATTTTAATCAAACATTTTGTGTGGACCATCAAGTTTTACAGGGTTTTGTATTACAGGATAAACATTTGATCTGCAACAGTTCATCTCCTTTATCTTGTATGTATAGGCCATCGTGACATCTCTGCTGGCTCCAGTGTCTAAAGTGATTGAGCAGGTGCAGTCATTCCGGGAGCAGAACCGCTCCTCTCCACTCTTCAACCACCTCTCAGCCGTCAGCGAGAGTGTGCCTGCCCTCGGCTGGGTCGCCATGGTGAGCTTGCCATACTTGGCACTGTCAGCATAGTGTGTGTCTTTGTGTGTGTATGGGTTGTCATTTATTTAACAAAGTGTGTAGCTAATTGAAACAGGCCATTCATTCATTCTGGAAATGTCTTATACAGTGAAACAGTGTGCAGCGACATTTTTCCCCTCTTCTGGTTTGTTAACAATGACCCAGTGTTTCAGACTGGCAGCCTGAGGCTTTTTGTGGAATCGAAATTGGTCAAGATGACCCAGTGAAAGATCTTCATAAGTGATTTACCCGTGTAAAATATGGCTTGTCGCAGTTTTATAGGTATACGGCTGTATAATGCTGGGATACGCTGTGCACAGACAAACAGTTATCTTTTCACATGAGAAAGTAGCCTAACTGAGTATCAGAATTGTGCTGTAATAATCAGATCATGTTTTGATCTGACTGTAGAAAAGCATTGAAGTTTCTGTGTCTGGAGTGTAACTTGCTTAAAAATGCCTTATTAAAGATACCTTTACCCCTCGGTCTCACCTTGCAGACGCTACATCATCAAAACTTTTGCTCTCTCTTTTAGTCTTTTTGACTGCCTTTTATTTACGTGTGTTTAACCGTGTGAGGGAGACTGTTTAGCTGTTTAACAGTCAAATAAAGTAAAAATAAATTTTTAATGCATAAAGTAATCAGTATGACTACCAGAAGAATATGCCACAGTAATGAAAATCAAAAATTATAGGATTTCTGTCTGCAGAGATGGACAACTGTGTCTTCTTTGCCTAAATTATTCTCATCAGTTTCCTTTGAAATATCTTATAATATTCATACAGATGTTCACTTACCATTTTCAGTATGTTTGAGTGTGCAATTGAATGTTGTTCTTTAAAACTAGTGGTGGAGTCTAAACAATGAGGCAGGAAGGTTGATAAGTATCCTGTTTCTTTGTTAGGCCCCTAAGCCAGGTCCTTACGTCAAGGAGATGCAGGACGCTGCCATGTTCTACACAAATCGTGTGCTTAAGGATTACAAGGAAAAGTAAGCTTAATAATGTATCATTTTCATATTTGATATGATTATTAAAAATTACACCTACCAATTCACACAAAACTACATATAAGCAGCTTTCCCATATTTTGGGCTGCTTGCTGTTTATAAACTGTGGTAAATACCTTATTCAACAGGGATAAAACACATGTGGACTGGGTCAAGGCCTACGTGTCCATCTGGACTGAGCTGCAAGCCTACATCAAGCAGCATCACACCACTGGACTGGTGTGGAGCAAAAGTGTAAGTTTTACTTTTACCTCTCACTTTATTTACTACTGGCTTTGTAGATTTCTGTGCCTTCAAGGTGAGTGGAGTATTATTATTCTGTCTGTATTGCAGGGTCCTGTTGCCTCCGCCTCAGGAGCTCCAAGTGCCCCGAGCGGTGGAGCTGCTGCTCCTCCTCCTCCCCCCGGACCCCCACCTCCACCCATGGACCTGAACCAGTCTGCGGGTGGAGACTCGAGCGCAACCAGCCGCAGCGCTCTCTTCGCCTCCCTCAACAAGGGATCCGACATTACTAAAGGTAACATTTGACAAATGTTGTGTTTTTTTGTTTGTTTGTTTGTTTCTTTTTGTTTAAGATAAGTTTTTACATCACCTTTCATTAAAAATTTAGAACTTTGTTCTTCCTTACTATCGTTCTGGGGATGTGACGTTTTCTCCCAATAGCAATGACATTCTAAGCACAGACGCAACTGTACATCCATGCTAGGCGCTTAGGGTTGAAAGTGGTTTGGTGTCCAGTCAGGGGCTGCAGCTAAAGTCGAGAGGAGGTTCAGTGTGAAGTCCTTAATTCATATGTTTGAGGACCAAATGGTCGTACAGGAAGTATGGTGAAGCCGAGCATCATTCTGCATGGCTGTCAGCGTTTGTTGCATTGTATGTCATAAATAACCCTGTCCCTTTTATTCACACAAGGCCTGAAGCATGTGTCTGATGCTCAGAAGACCCACAAGAACCCGGCTTTGAGGTCTCAGGCAGGTCCTGTGCACACTGGCCCCAAACCCTTCTCTGCTCCCCGGCCAACTGCATCTGCCGCCCCTGCTCGCACACTGCCCCCAGTGCTGGAGTTGGATGGCAAAAAATGGAGAGTGGTGTGTATGAAAGCCATTTTGTTAGTAAACTGATGTATTGATGGTATTGTCACTAGAAGTTTCTATCTTTTCATCTGTTTATCATTCCATTCTGACTCCCTCTTGTGTTTGTATATTGTGATCAACAGGAGAACCAGGAGGGAGCTCAGGGCCTTGTGATCAGCGATACAGAGCTCAAACAGGTGGTTTATGCCTTCAAGTGCAACAAGAGCACTCTGCAAATAAAGGGAAAAATCAACTCCATCACTGTAGGTATGAACGCATCACCACCCTCACTTGGATGTTTTGTTCTGGAAAAGGGTTGAAGAGCACAAAGTACAACAAAAAAGGACAAATTTGTTTGGCAATTTGTTTGGCTTTAAGCTTGTCACTTTCTCTGCAGACAACTGCAAGAAAATGGGCCTTGTGTTTGATGACGTTGTGGGTATTGTTGAGGTGATCAACTGCAAGGATGTTAAAGTACAGGTGTGTGTGCTTGGGCATTCTGCTCATTCCAAGGGGAATTTCTCACTTATATTGCTCTTGTTTTTAGGCATGTCTTGCACATTCTGTTTGTAGTTGACATTCTTCTGTGCATGCAGGTTTTGGGCAAGGTCCCAACGATCTCCATCAATAAGACAGATGGCTGCCATGTGTACCTGAGTCAGGGCTCTCTGTCATGTGAGATTGTCAGTGCCAAGAGCTCTGAGATGAACGTGCTGGTGCCTGGCAAGGATGGAGACTATGTAAGTAATTAAGAGCACTGTGGATATGGGAAATTCCTATTACGTGTGTGTGTGTGTGTGTGTGTGTGTGTGTGTGTGTGTGTTTCCTATTACGTGTGTGTGATGTAGGTCTGTCACAATCACGAAATATTAGCTGACGATAAATGTCCATATAATTTAATTGCGGTTCGTTCATTGTATGCAACTATTAAAGGGGCCAAGTTAGCAGATTAGCTATATTGTTACCTAGATGTCAGTATTTAGTAGCCCCAGATAATGTGTAGCAGGGATTGCCCCTCACTAATGTCTTCAGGATTTGTTAAATGCTAGGAAGTGCTCCTGAGCTAGTTCAAAATGAAGGGGCTTTTGCGTGGCTTTTGTGCAAAATTATAGTTGGTAAATGCTTAATCATTTTTTATAAAGAAAAATGAAATATTTGCAATATATGTTGTTCTGTGTTCAGAAAATTAGTGGAACACTTCAATTTCTGAGCACTGTCAGTCTGAAGTTATAGGACTTTCATCATATGTTCATGATGTTGATGAACACAAACTGCTTCATTCAGCTAATGCGCTGATCAACTTGCCTCCCAGTCAGTATTCATTAGCAGAAATGCTAGCATCCTACTGCCCAGCACCTTTGTGCTGTAGAGGAACGGAAAAGTACTACCTTCTGCTCTTCAAAATTTAAAGGGAGGCATTAATGGTTAGAAACGTATTTAATTCTTCATTTTTAGCCAGTTAGCTGGCTTGCGGGCACCCTCCTGTGTTTTACAGTGATGCTTTTGTTATAATGGGAGAAATAGAAAGTAGCCAGGCTCCCCTTAAACTGGCACTGGTAGTTCCCAACAGATGACAGAAGACAAACATTACATAACACTACCTTCTGACGGTGTTATAGCACCAGTCAGAAGTTTTGCAGTTTTCAAAAAGGCCATGATGTGTCTCAACAAATGCAATTTCTCCTTTCTTTTATATACATATATTTAGCTCAACCCAACTCATGAAAATGTGCTCAATTCACATTCTCTTTGTCCTGTAAATACGTGATCATGAAAGCCAACAACTGTGGAAAATAATTGCAATCGGCTCAAATAATTGATCGGGGTGATTTGTAATAATTGTGACAGGCCTACTTACAATCTTTTTTTGGTTTCCCAGACTGAGATCCCGGTCCCGGAACAATTTAAAACTGTATGGGACGGCAAGAAGCTGGTCACTACAGCAACCGAGATTGCAGGATAAAAGCTCCTCCTCACTTGTAAGACCGCCCCCTTAACCAATGCCTACCTGACTGACTGACCAACCAGCCAATCACAAACAAGACAAATGCCAACCATGTCCACACTTCCTATCAGCCAATCACAGCTGCAGCTGTACCATCCTTCAGCCAACGAGATGACTGCTTGCTTTGTGGCACAGTCCCTCAGCCAGGGGCAGGGATCGACTTTTCATTCCATTTGATATTGTTAGATAGCACTTCTAAACTAATTGCCAACAATCGAGTTGTTTTGCTACCTTTTTTTTTTAAGCATTCCACCCATGCTGGGAAAAATAAAATGTGAACGGCCAAGATGATGCAAAGATTTGTTTAGATTCTTTAGTTTGTATTGTCTTAATTCCTTCAGATTTTTAATGACTGGATGTATTTTTCATTTGCTTTGCATGGTCAGGGGCAGATGTTGGGGTTGGGGTTAGGGGGAGAGAGTCCTAGTGGTTTTTGTTCTTATATATGCAATTCAGTCCTAAAGCACACGTACAGCCCTTCTTTTAGACAACCATGATGCTACCACTCCAGACATTGACGGTGACTTTGTAGAGATAATTATATAATAAAGATTTGTGTCATCATCCACATTAGAGGACTAATTAGAGAAAAGGACGCTACGTGCAGGATCACTGTCTTTTCTACCATAACACTGAAGCAAAAATAACGTTAATGATTGTTGGAGTATGAACAAAACTTTTTCATTTCTCACTGTATTCCAGCACACAGCACATTCCATATAGCACTGTAAAATAATACACCATTATATGTTTGCAAATAAGAGGTACCATAAGAACAAGGATGCTTATTTACAACATCCTTGTTGTTTCTTTGTTCTAAAAACTGGATGTTAGACATTGATACTGTCCCAGAAATGCTGTTGATGAGACTGACCATGTTGGCATAGCCAAACTGAGCTCATTTGATAGCTGTTGAGGTATCTCCTGTGGTGGTCAGTACACAGTAGACATGTTTTACAAGTACACTTGTATAAGCCCCTCACCACAGGCTTTTACGTATCCATCGTTCTGACTCTTTAAAGCCTTTTTCCTCTCATAGCACTCAGGCCATGTGGAATTTCTCTTTTAATCATTTGTCTTTTTTTGTTATTTGTTTTTTTTTCTTTCAAGAATTAAAATTCTGCTCATTAGTACTGGAGGAAGATATCATTAAAGTCGTCGCAATAAATTTAATGTCACTCTTGTCTGTGTCTTTACTTTTCGGTTTGTATTTATTTGCTGAGTTTAACATAGTGGACAAAAAACTAAAACATAAAATAGCAAATTTGCCCTAACTTTTGTACATGCCACATTTTATGTGTATTTCTTTTTTCTTTTCTTTTTTTTCCTATGGCTCTTGGAATTTACAGCTACAAGAAAGAAGTGTAGATTTAGTGAAGCTCAAAATATAAGAGAAAAGGCCAGCAGTCAGTACTTTCGATGTACGTTTATGTACATTTTCCAAATCTTACATATCTTACATCTATAAAAACAATCATGGAGGACAGAACCGATCTATTTTAACTTGGGTATGAGAAGTACGAGAGAATGGGTTGTTAAGCATGAACGCTTTCATGAATTTAGGAACAGCAGCTGCTGTTCATATAAACAAGCTGATGGATAAGCTAAATACAATATTCTAACATCCTGAGCTTTGAGATATATCATTTATAATGGACTCTGAAGGACCAGTTGAGTTGCAATTTGTAGTATTGCATAAGGACAACATGATAATAAATGTGTGCTAAAGAATGCAGTTTACAAGTGTTTCAAATGTGTTTTGGTTGACATTTTTCACTCTTTAATAACTCCAAGTGCAAATATGTGACAGTTTTACATTTTTGTTTAAAATTGAACAAGACACACTAAATGGGTTCCTAAGAGTGGTTTCTAAATAAATGGAAGGCAGTGTTTATCACCTCCCTGATGGGTAGAAATCAACAGTGAAAGGCAGGGGCGTGAATTTGGTCTGACAAATCGGCCACCAATGTGAGGAGGATAAGGCCTACAACCATAAAATGGGGTAAACAAAGCATTAATAAGATTACATTTATCATATTGACATCTCACGTTAGATGTCAATATTAAAACACAAAAACATGATATAGCGTGTATATCACATATTCAGTATAAAAAATTAATTTTGTTACGTATTATAATAGCATTTTTTAAAATAAATTCTTACTTGTTACAAATATTTTAGCAAAATATCCCAATAATACTAAATATGATGATAAGAAGAAAAATGGAAGACTTTTAATAAATGTTATGGCAAAAGTCAGCAAACAATCATAGTACAGTAAAGAAGGGTTGAAAACGCTTCCAAGAAAGGTTATGTACTTTTTGTCAACAACCATCCCGCAACCCCCAAATTTACCTTGCGTAATTAAAAAAAAAAATGGGTGGGACATGCCCACTCTATTCCACTGTGTATTTGCACCAGTGGTGAAGGAGCGAAAGCAGCACTGTGCTTTTTTTCCATTAAACCTGAGATAGTCTTAAAAATATACAAAGCTGTCTCTAGTAAACATTTGTTGTGTTTATGTGCATTTAACCCAAAAAGCAGTCATGTACCTTTATAGTTAAAAACGTGACCACACCACAAGTCAAAGCAAGCAGAAAGAAAACCAGATAATGAATGAGATTCCTAAATGTTATATTTTATTTTTTGAGATAGTAAAATAATAAAAAGTAAAATCTCTTTGTTATGTCCAGATCAGCTTAATATTAATAAACTAAAAATAGATCAGTGCAATAAAACAAAAGAGAACTGTTCTATAATCAATCAATCAATCAGTCAATCAAATGTAAAAAGCTTACAATCAATCTGTAAAATGTCATTAGATTCAGAGACATAAGAATGTGCAACAGTGGAGCAGATGTGCATATTGCGTCTGTCTGTTCTCATTGTTCATGTTCCGGGGGGTTAGCGTATGTAGGGGAGTAACTTGGCGTTGAACCACTCGCGATTGAACTGTAAGTGATCTCCATCTGTAGCAAGAAACACCAGCTTCCCCGCTTTATCCATTTCTGCCAAACCTAGACGATCCTGCAAAACAACACATGACACTCTGATGACTTCCAGGCTTCAATTTCACCTGCCAAAGCAGGTCGGTGAAACAGAAGCAGTTGGGCCTCTGCTGTTCAAAGCGTATAATCACATTCTTCTGTTTCTTGCCTGCTTGAAGGTTTCCTCATCATTGATTGGATACATATGTGGGATTTTTCATGAAAAAATTAAAAGAAACACACCCAGAGAAGCATGTCTTACCTCTTTGTACAGAGTGCTTTCCTGTAAAGTTTCAGTTTCTTCAGCCTGACCCGTTTTGAAAAAGCCAAACCACTGAGAAAGGAGAAGGTTTTCTAAGTAAAGACCTTCATCACTGGAACAGAATTTTACTGAAAAGGTTTTAAAGCTGAATTTATTACCTCTGAGACCACAGGGTCCACTATACTGTCCTGTAGAAACTTTACCATGACAAACTTCTCCAAAGACATGAGGTTCTTCTTGTAGGTCTCATTCACCACCTTTAAGAAATAGTATTGAGTAAGTGGAGACAGGGACAGAACTGAAATGATGGATGAAATGAAAAAAATCACAAGGAATCTAGTTATGTAAAAAACACAACACAAAAATTAGTCGTTTGGGCACATTTATAGTTTCTGAAAAAGATCTGTTGGAACAAAAACCTACCCGCTCCTGATTTATATCAGCAAGGAAGAGGCTATGCTGTTTGTACAAGTTGTCATTGAGGGGATCGTGCCAGTACTGAGCCTGCACCAAGCTAAAGCAGAATAATTACAGGTTAAGAAGAATACATATAATATTAACTAGTTATGGGTGCACCAAAATTCAGCCACTGACAATTATTGTTGGAAAATGTCATTTTCAGACAAGTAATGCTGTTTCCATTCTTCTAAGATTACAAAACTCCATAATGTCAAAATATAACACTTTACGTATCATTTCAGTGGTGATGAGAATTAGACGTAGTTCACAGTTTTCTTTTGCTTTCCTGTATTGTTCATTACTGTTGTATTCAAGGAGCGCAAGGAAATTGTTGTAGGCAAAACTTGAAACTTGGTTCCTTGGTCTTCTGTTATTCAAAATAACTCAAAATGTTCAGTTGAAGGGACAGAATAAGAAAATGTCTTGTTCCTTTACCTTGTAGGTTTACAATGAATTCATGCATAATACTAAAAACACAAACTTTAAACATTGTTTCAGTTTCAACCAAGAACTTTCATTTCAGTGTTATCACCACTAATCACTAATGTTGTTTTATGGTCAGAAATATTCTTTATTCTCTATTTTATAAACTGATCATTTAAAAGAAAAGGTCACAATCTCACTGTTTTTGGATTGCATCTGTGTAGGCCCCAGAGTTCAGTTTCTTCCTGATCCAGTCACAAATATGAGAGCTCTCCCCAGGGCACCGAGGCAGACCATATACTCCTACAAAACAAAAAAACAAAAATAACATATCATTAAAATAAACAGAAATAAATATGATGGTTACAAAACTTTTAACATAGCATTCCCCTCACTGTACCAAACCACTGACTGCATCTCTCTCTATATTTTGCCACAATTTAAACTGTTGAAGATGTGGCTTCTAGCCATCTTTCAATGAGAGACATGTCAAGAACATATATAAGCCCATAAGAGCTAAAAGAAGAGCTGTTACAAAACCTTGATGCTGTCCACCAACTGAGATCAGAGTCTTCATTGGAGGATTTGGACATCTCTGAGCCACAGCACGCCTGGTAAGATAAAGGAAAATGGAGGCTGAGTTTTCTCATGTCACTTCCTTGAGAGCATTATAATTTAAGTCCAGTGAATCAGCACTCACAGAAACTGCGCCCCCTGGGAGAAGCCCATTGCATTATAACCCGCTTTCAACTTGGGGTCCTGAGCTAGCTTATCACAGGCAAACGCCACTTGCTCATTGACATCCATGAAAAACCCACTTTCTGTATCCTGAAACACAGATGAATAGACAAGGAGTTCATTATAATAGCATGTTGGTTGTTTTGTAGTGAAGCACAGGTGTGTCATGACACTTGACTGGAGTACCTGAGCAACAGTCTTGCCGATCATGAGCGAGAGCACATAAATACCAGGCACTTCCTCTTCCACCATTTTCTTAATTGCACCCATGCTTAGAGGATTGCAGCAGTTGTCCCCTGTTCAGACAGACAAATACTGAAAAAGAGTCTATACAAATATTTCTTCATAAAAACAAAGATAATATATTTATGTATTCAGTAAAGGTGTAAGGATTTCAGCGCAGCAGAAATGTATAACTGGCAGATACGCCCCTCTGTTTTTTTTTTTCATTTTTCTCCCCAATTTCATCGTATCCAATTCCACCCAGTAGTTAAGACTCCCTTAATCACACAACACTATCAGTGTTAGGAGGGTGAAGGCGAACACAAGCTTCCTCCGACTCCTGTGAAGCGCCGCTGCATATTTTCAAACTGTCGCTAACACAACGTCATTGGACAGCTGAAGGCTCTTGGAGGAGAACGCTAACTGCCAGTTATTTTACGCCAGCTCACAGGCGCCTGCGCTGGCTAGCATAGGGCCATCCTACCCACCCAGAGAAAGCGAGGCCAATTGTGCTTTCTTAGACTGCTGGCCACAGATGGCTGTAGCTTCACCAGGGATCGAACCCATGATCTCCTGATGATCTGTCTCTTCTAAGGCCCAGAGAGCAAGAGGACAGTAGGGAAATGGTGGACCACTGTTGGTCCAATAACAACAAAGCTGGCAGCCCACTGGCTTTTTGCTCAGCATTTTTTGGGCAGCATGCTGGTGGTTCAGCAGAGTATTAGACAAAATGCCACTTTTCAGGGCTCTTTTCCCACTCACAGTCCAGTTTACTGAGTTTTCCTTCCTTCCTTTCTTTCGTTATCATTGTGAATTAGCAAATCATTTTAATTTAGCACAGTGTCAACAACAACACTTTATACAAAACCAAGTTATATTAGGCCTAGGCTTTTTTTGCTCAGCATTTTTTGGGCATTTTTTTTTTTCAAAATAAAAGGCTGTGTGCATTTAAAATCTGTTTGAGGAGATCAAAAACTAGTTAGCCCTTGTATGCGGGACAATAATCTGGGTGGTCTGAGGGTGGTCTAGCAATGGCTTACAGTGAGTGGGGTGCTGAGCGTTACATTGCTATCTGGGAGGTTTCTTTTTTTCTGTTGAAAACACTGTCAATGATGAAAACAAGGCATCTCTAGGTGCACCTGATCAGAGTGGGGGGCTGAGGGGCTGGGTAGTTTATGTTGTGCACCCGCTCAAGCTCAAATGATCAGGCTTTTTTCTGAAGTCCGTTCTAAATGTTAGGCATTGCGATTTTTGGAGTTTATTTTATTTGAAAGTTCATGTGGCAGATAAGTTCTGTTGCTGTAAGTACAGCTGTATATAATCAGCAAGATATATCTAACAGATAAAAAAATTAAACATTGACCTCAGAACTCATTATCATATCAAACATGAAAACATGCTTTTTGTTACACAACTAAAACCGATGGTCTATTCGTGTAGCACAGGTGTAGTGCATAATGAACGTTTGCTTCATCATACCCATTCCATGCCAGAGGACCAAAGGTGTGGAGACGTTGGACCCTCGAACTGGTCCTGAGACCAAAAGCAGTGCTCCAAGCCCAATGAACAGGCGCAGGTTCATGTTTGGTCCAACCGGAGACGAGCGAACTGTAGACGTGAATGCGACACAACCAAGCCACTTACACTAGGAAGAAGACAACAGAAAAATCATGTGATCGTTCAAGAGGAAGCGGTGCACAAAACCACCTTGTGGCACAATGAGCGAGAGAGAAGCAGAACAAAGCAAAAAGAGAGAAAAACTGTGGAAATGCTTCCCAGCTACAAATCAGTGAACCGCATGGGTTGTGACGCGATAAGTTGCCATGAAATTCACACGGCTGTTTTACTACCACTCTCTTTATAAACTGTCAAAATGTTTGATCAGCCTCCTTCCTGTGCTTGGACACATTAGTGAGAAGCCATAACTAACTAACTCACTTCACTGATGAGTATGTCTGAGTTAAATCATTTAACTACCTTAAACACACACATAGAATAAAAACAGCGATAAATGTAATCACATTACTTACTGTATTAAACTGCTGCTGCTACAACGAGTCACATGACGGAACCGAAACAAACGCGAGACACCGCTTGGTGGCTCCAAAACATCGGCATTACAAACAATGAGTGAATGATGTGAGTTTAAAAGTGTTTGCATTGGCCAATCCATATTGTTTAGCAAGCAGTGCTACGCAATTCCGCAAACGTTTTACGTCAGCCCCACGCGGCAGTCATGTGACACAAACCGGCTCCGGCATAACTGACTAAGGTTGAACCTCACATGGCTCCCTACTCCCTTTAAATTACACTGTGTAGGTCATAAAACTATGGCTTTTACTCTCAAGTTGTGCACTAAACGTTAGACAAGAAGTCGTGCAGCTCATGGTTAAATATCACTGGCTTTCTATTAGACATATAATGTGCTATTTGGGCGTAGAGGCCATTATTTTTGTGACCTACCGAGTGCCCTACGTAGGGAGGAGAGGGTCATTCGAGATTCAGCCTAAAAACAATAGGGGCAGCCATTGTTGCGTTCAAATAGCGCATTTGCAGCGCAAATTCTGCGATCTACAAATCATGTGGATCCCGTATAAAGTCTCTTGCATCGTTCAGTGAGAATCTTTTGGAAATCTGCGATTTGCGCAGAACACGCAGCCATTCACTTTGAATGCTGACTGCTGCCCAATGTCCAGCAGGACAACAGAGGAGTCCGTGGCAGATTTTGCGAAATAAAACTTAAAAGCTATTTCGAAAACACTCAGTTAGGACACGATGAGTATTTTAGACCACATCGGCTGCTTTCGACTAAAACTTTACATTCCGGGTAAGAAAAATCTTAGCATATAACGTTAGGCTGTATTGCAAATCTATTAGACTGTTTTGTTAAATGATCCCGAAGACTTTTTTAAATGTTTGTACTGATAAGCATCTTGAAACTAAGCTTTGTGGTATCAGATCATTTTACCTGTAAGAGCTCTGTGAGATCTTACTTTTTGCTTCATGTTACCAGATGATAAAGCTAACATCGAAAACATCCGGATAATTTTGCTGACTGCAGTGAAGGAACAAGGTTAACTTGGGAGGGTTTTAAAGTGTGACTGACAGAAGAAGTGATATAGCCATATTATCTTTAGGTACTGAGAGATAAAGTCTTGTCAGTCCATATCAGCCTGTCAGCTGATTGCTATGAGACACCGTCATGCAAGTTTTTGCAAGTGATCATTGTTTCCTGGGCTGTGGGGTGATTTCACTGTTCTTATCAGCTGTTTATAGCCTTTTTCAGAGTCTTAACTCTGGTCATACATTACTCAGCAAAAATACTGTAGCTACGTCTGCTGTTTAGTCATCACTAGGGGTGTACCGATACACAAATTCTCAATTCGATACGATTTTTGGTCAATATTATTTCCAATTCACTGGCCAAGATTTGATTTTATTTTTGATATTTTCTGTGATCTGGAGAGCTCTAAATATAGCCTACACTACAGCCTGGTGTGGTTCTGATAAAGGAACAATGTAAATATACAATAAACCTCCAAAAAGAGGAAGGACAGCAAATCAGAGAATCTCAGAAGACACAGAGAGCCAAATCCACCATACTGTTGCTGTTTTAAATTTCAATACATTCTAGATGTTTATTTTTGTAGGTTTTATATTGTATTGTCATCATTATACCCTTGGTCATTAGTTATCTTATAAACATTGGCTAATATTTGTGTAGCGTGAAGCTGACGCCTGCAAGGATTAGTTATGGATTACTTATGTCATAAGATCAAGCACAAGTTCCTCTTCCCCATTCACAGGAGGAAGTGTGACTGTGCGTGATTTGCAGTGTACACAGTGAAAAGAGTTTTCAGATCACCACCGGCCACCATGAACCTCAGCCTGGATGCCTCCTGTTAAAGTAAGTTACTAATTAGGTGTTACATGAAAGTGAAGTGTGGCTAACGTTTCTGTGTTTTGTGTATTTAGTTGTGTTGCTCAGTTGATCGTTTTGTTCAGAGGTTGTCCTGTTTGACAGATCAATAGTGTTATCTGGAATGTTTTTGATGCAGATGATGGTTTGGTGAGCCCAACTTAGTTCTTGCACTTGACCGTCTGCGATGGCCCAGAATTATGGCTGTTCAATTAATTCTTCTGCGGAGGACCAGGAAAGTAAGGAGAACTCTCCGCTGCTGCAGAAACAAGCAGAGCAACTCTCAGGTAGGTCTGATCTGAGTTTTGTGTTCCAGGGTTTTTTCTTTTGTACACATTCCACATGTGAGAGATTTTCTGAATGTTTTATGGAACATATTTAAATTACTAGATTAGTAGATCTACACTGATACTGAAGTACAATGATAACCAAAACCTATTGTAAGCGTAGGGTTATTTTGGATTACTTAAAGAAGTGGCTCACTGAGAAATAAAATTTTTGACACTTTCAATGTCTAAAGTTCTTTAGTTTTGCAGTGGGGCAGAAATAATAGATGCAAGATTTTGGGTGACATGGACTTCCATTACTTTTAGCCACATTATCCTAAAGCCAGTAATAATCTGCATCTCACACAAAACACCACTCTGTTCAGTCACAATTAGCATGCACTGCTTTCATTCCTCTAATCATCTAGTAAACCACTGTGCTTGTGTCTTGAATGTATTCATAAAGTTTGCAAATCTGCTATACTGCAGGTTAAGTCTGTGTTCTCAAACATATTGTGTAGAATATAGACTTACTCTTACTTAACTATAAGCAAGGCGTGCTTTATGCTGATGTTAGAATAAAGACTTAAATCCTATTCATTGCTACATTAGTTGTTCCTGGCTCTGAAATTTTCACTGTTTTTTGGCAGATTCAGTGAACTCAGTACATGTTTAGTACATGTTGCTTGTACAGAACCATTGAACCATAATTCATACCATTTTGTACGTACATGCAATGTGATTGTTAAAGATGAAAGATCAAATCAGTTCACAGCATCCATCATGTGAAGAGAAGTACACTTTGACAGTGGAAGTATTAAAAAAAACCATTCTGCTTTGGAATGTCCGCAACACCCCTAGTTCAGGAACACCACACCTACACCAAGAAACCTGCTCATGTGGCTGCTTGTGGGGTTTCCCAACAACATATTCTAAATCACTTTCTTTCTAATCACAAGGTATCATGTTTCAGCCTATTATGAGGTAACACTGAGATAATGTGTCTTAGAATGTAACAAAGCAGATTTGTATAAAGAACAGATTGCTTTGATTTTTGGATTATATTAAAGTGGGTTTATGCAACATTCATAAATCCATATTTAAAGTGCCATTTTGTCAAGTACCCAAGCTCCTCAATCTGTTTTTGGAAAACTGACCCTCTAATTAGGATCGGGTGCCAGAAGTGGTTGTCTTTTATGGAAAGAACTGACTAAGCAAACAGGAAAAAAAATAAGTTGTTGAAAGATTATTAATTTTATCTATGCTGTACAGTCGTAGGAAAATGTTTGAATACGCCTGGCCAAATTACATGTTTTGTAATTTGCAAAAATAAAGACATACAGGGAGTTTAACGTTGACGAGAGGTGCCCAATCTTTTGCAGACAAATGTAATAAATTAGTCTTGTGTTCAATAACCTTTTCACCAATGATACACTCTTATAACATAATGTTCTGTTGGATATAAATGTAAACTGTGATTGTGATGTTGAGGTTGTATGTGTAACAGTGCCTCCCAAATGCTGCTCCGTGCGATGCAATCTGGCTATAATGATGTTCTTCGGCTTCGCTGTGGTGTATGGTCTCCGGGTCAATCTCAGTGTTGCCATGGTCGCCATGGTCAATGGAACTAGCACCCAGCCAGATTCAAATGGCAGTAAAGCAAAGGAATGCCCAGTGTCCTCTGCTACCTTGAACAGCAGCAGTCAAACTCTGGATCAGCCAGATGGGGTAAGAGTTTTCAGTCCACTCTCACAGCACACAAAGAACCTCTGATTTGAGGGGTCAGTATTCACAGGTGTGGCCAGGATCACTGTGGAATGAAGTATGTCCACCCTTCTGGCCACCCCAGTTATGGAAAGTGAGTCAGTCATCATCAGTCAGCCATCATGTTATTTGCGCTTTATGGTGAAAATCTGCCATCAGTGCAGTTACCAGTCAGTTATGAGAGTCTGATGATGCTTCATTTAATAATCAGCGTATTTTGCTGTGATGGGCTAATTTACTCAGTGACAGGCGAGTGAATGTGCACTGGGTCCCTTCAGCAGTGATGCTCTGTGAGCTATATTGTGAATAAGTCTATTTGATGGTTAGATGCATTAACTTTCAAAAATTAGTAAGCTGTAATCATTTATCACGCTAATTCCTTTTTACAGTTGAATACATGCATGTGTTACCTCATACAGTGCTGTCTGGCTAGCTTTCCAATCATTACATTCATGTATTACATGTAGTGAATGCAACCCAAATTAAAAAATTCTATGACCTGTCTGTATGAAGTGTTTTCTTAAAGTTAACGTTGTGCACTGAAAAAAGTGATTTAATTTACAACATTTAATTTACTTGGTTCAAACACATCATTTCCTCATGAATGACTAAAAAATGTTGCATCACCACAGTTTTGTCTTTCAGTTTACTTTTGGTAATAGTTGTTTTGATGTAGTATTTTATTACAGAGAAAAAACAATGTATCAGTTTATGTCATTTTAATACCGTAACACTATTTTATTTGTTTAGTTTTTTTCTTTGCAGTCTGCCACCCCAATAAAATCTGTGGGTCTTACCTGGCCACCCGTTCAAAATGTTCTAGCTACACCCTCCTCATATTTCATTTTATTATGTATTATGTATTGTGTGGTTTTATAAACCATTTTTTGATGTTTTTTTTTTCAATATTTCTGCATAATTTAACCATTAATATGTAAACAAAGTCAGAGCGGTGAAATGCTCCATTCCAGAGAAACCTACTGAGTCAGAATTGTTCACAGTAGTGGTCATAGGAATCAGACCACTGAAGCATTCTAATGCTTATAAAATCTCCCTCACAGAAAGATATTACACAAAGCGTAATTACAAATAAATTCCCTGATGATACCTTCGCAAAAAAAATGTTTTTACTTTTTTTTTACACAAAATGTTTGAAATATGTAGAAATGAAATGGCATATTTGTGTTGTAGACATCTCGACCCCTCATTCCAGTCACCACCACTGTAAAGAAATAAGTCAGTTTCTCACAAAAGTAATTATTTATTATCAAACAACTCTGAATGACATTGTTTACAGCTCAGCCACTGAATTATGTAGAATTTTTAAACCCTTAACTTGTTTTCTAGAGAGCGCGGCGATTCAGTAATTTAAGGAGGTACCCCTAACATTATGAAATATTCCACTCTTCATTTTTACATCACTCCAGGTGCCACGATACCCATGGGATTCTGAGACGCAGGGAATGCTGCTTGGTGCATTCTTCTTTGGTTACCTTTTCACCCAGATCCCTGGGGGCTACCTGTCCGGCCGATTTGGTGGAAGCATTTTCCTGGGAGGGGGAGTTCTATGCACAGCAGTCCTCACACTTCTCACTCCTCTCGCAGCACAGCTTGGGGCCAGGTGGCTGTTTGCTCTACGGGCCTTAGAGGGATTTGGAGAAGTGAGAACAAATTAAAATATTAAAATGTTTAAGAAATGAAACTGATCTCATTGTGCAGATTTTTATGTGCCTCACCAATTCAGTATAATGAAGTAAGTGTGAGTGCAGTTAAATGCTGTCTTTTTGTGGTTAGGGTGTGACGTTCCCTGCCATGATGGCCATGTGGGCTTGCTGGGCCCCTCCATTAGAAAGAGCTCGTCTAATGACTCTCTCAGGAGCCGGGGGTAATTTTGGTGCCTTTGTCGCTTTTCCTCTCACTGGCTTTATCTGCCACAGCCTGGGCTGGCCTGCAGTCTTCTACTGCTGTGGTAAGTAACTAAAACTTAGATCTGCATATTTTAACCCAACAAGCTCAGTTCTCTCTTTTTTTACAACTATGTATTTTCTAGTCTTAGAGGCATAATTTACGTTATATTTACAGTTTTCCCCCGTTCTAAATTCAGCATTGGAGCTAAGGGACTAATGTAGCTACAAGTAAGGGAAACGTATGTTACCCAAAATCATTTTGGGTGACATAAACTTCTGTTATATTAGCTCTATAGCTCTAATGCAAAACTAAAGAAGCAAACGTTAGACACCAAACATTTCTTGGTCAATCAACTACATTTGGGGTTAGGAGAAAACTGTGAATATGATTTTTCAGTGACCTATTCCTTTACTATCATCCCTAATAAAACCCTAAAACTCTCTGCAGTAACTAAACTGAGCTTGGCGTGTGATGTTTTGTTACACTGGGAAACGATGTATTTTTACATTTTTGTGCAATTTATGAAATCTTTTATTCAGCTAAATTTTGAAACCATGTTAGGCAATTGATTTGTGTTCTCATATTTTACCATCAGGGGGCGCAGGGTGTCTTTGGGCAGTACTATGGTTCATCCTGGTGTCAGATGAACCTCGCACACATCCACGAATAAGTGACCAAGAAAAAGAATACATAATCAACTCTATAGGTTCAGAGGTATAAAGTGATCTTCCATGGATAATTTGAGTTAATAACAAAAAGCCTGTTAATGAAGTCAATTTTTGGCCTGTGAAGCTTGTTCACAGTGAGACTCATTGTACGCCTTTGTAAACTCTCACTCCTCCGTTACTAAGCATAGTATTATTTGCACATCCAGTTGATTCATTTACATAAGGCAGATTTTCTCATAAATCATCATTAATGACACTTGAGAATATCATCATCACTATTATCAGCAACTATGGTGTGTATAAGGGTGTGTAAATAGGTAAAATATCACAATGCAATAAATGTTGCCTTTAAATTGCTTGCATGATCATTTGATGGTGGTTTAAGGTACTGTATAGGAAGAGCATCTATCTATCTATCTATCTATCTATCTATCTATCTATCTATCCATCCCTCCTGTGCAGGGGGGGTCCCATGGTTGGACAGTACCGCTGCTGCCCATGCTGCTCTCGGTCCCTCTCTGGACCATCATCATCACACAGATGTGTTCTAATTGGTCTTACTACACTCTGCTTACCTCACTGCCCACCTACATGGACACTGTGCTACACTTTGACCTACGCCAGGTTAGACGCTGAACCTTTTGGCCCATGGACCGTAATATGGGCAGCACTGCCTTAATCAAATCTGTATTTGTATAATCCCTTTCATACAAACAATAGTAATTCAAAGTGCTTAACAGATTGACACACAGTTAAGACAAAGCTTGAGACAGAGAGCCAGAAAAGAAAGAATAAAAAGGATAATTTAAGTTATAAGAACATGAAAGATCTTAAATAGCAGTTGTTAAAAATGAAAATTTCTTGATTGTATTGTTGCAAAACCTTCTTACAAGATAACAAAAAACATTTGTACTAGAGAAAATTAAAGTTAATTTAAAGCAAGGTAATGTAGTAAGAATTTTTCCTAAGTAAATTTGGACGCTTGCAAACAACCTGTATGTATGACATGATCTTATGTTTTCTCACTGTACGTCACACAGAACTCCTTCCTGTCGGCTCTGCCCTACCTGGGAGGTTGGTTGTCCTCCGTGTTGTCAGGTGTGATAGCGGACAACCTCCTGGAGAGGAAGCTACTGAGTGTAACGGCAGTTCGCAAAATCTTTACTATTGCCGGTCAGCAATCCCTCAATACTGACAGATTGTCAGTTCAGTTTGTCGTGATATTAATATGTTCTGTTAACTGTCTGAAATATTGGCTTTGTGCAGGTATGCTGCTGCCAGCGGGGTTGCTGGTTGCAGTGGGTTTCTCAGGCTGCAGTGGCATCCTGGCTGTAACTTTTCTCACTCTGTCCACTACCATCGGAGGCATCAGCTCTGCTGGAGTCTTCATGAACCAGATTGACATCGCACCTCGGTACTGACAATATCATCTTCTAAAATCACTGTCTTCCCTTCTTATAATTCTGCTGCTCTCCACCCAAGCATACTTTTACTCCAAGGCTCTAGCTCTGCTTTTCATACTGCCCCTTAAGGACAGGAGTATTGATACTGAATTATTAGTATGTTACAAACACAATGATTCCTTTTGAGACAGAAACTCAAATGAAAGTACTGATTCCAGGTGATTTTTTTAGTGTTTTCTCTGGTTATTTATCTCTGTTTATGAGATTGAATGTGTTTTTTATGTGGAAAAAGTGAAAAAAAAGGATTGCAGTAATTAAAATAATTAAAAATAATTATGAGGGATAGGAACTACTTTTCCTTCCGCCCTCTCCCTTTGCTCCTTATATACACAAGCATAGTAAGTCAGTGAACAAGATGGAGTGAATGCTGTATAATGGCAGATCATTTGGGGTTATTTTATTCTTCTTAAAACTCTGATCTTTGGCAGTTCATTTAGTACTAATATAATATGCTTTTATATTACTACTAATATACTTATGTACTTTTTTGTTGTCCACATATTGCAAGGGTTTCCCTTGTACTCCAAAATACTTTTGAAAATACTGGGTATGAGTACTGGTATCAGCATACACTATAAAAATGAAAAGCTGGGTCAGCTTAAATTTTAAGGCAACTAACTTCACAGCTTTTTGGGTTTCCTCAACTTGAGGGCATTGGTGAATGCAGTTCCATTAACTGATAAAAAGCTGTGAAACTTTCTTGAAGTAAATTTCCTGATGTTTTATGTAAACGTTCAAAGCGTACCATTCAGGTATATGGATTGTATTATTTTTTTTTTTGTGATGTCATGAAAACGAATGCATTTACATAGATCCACATATTCAGGCTACAGCAGTTTAGCTCCACCCATTTGATGAGTTATCAGGAGCAGAGTTGTACTGAGGAGAAGTAATGTTTTCCGGGTTTGTCAAACACTAGAGGGCGCTCTCGAACGAGTATAAAATGAATGGGTTAATATGGAGCATTTGAGCAAAATTATAGTTTTAAATGCTCAAACATTTTTTTATATAGAAGAATGTATTCATCTCCTGAACACAGAACTTCATACAAAATTTATAATGTCATATTTAGTCTAGGACTTTATAACAGTACATCCTGTATGTTCATGATGTCAGAGCTAATCTCTGTACTTAGCCAATGAGCTAATCAGCCCACCAATCAATCAGCACTCGTAGCAGTAATGCTAGTGTCCCTACTATTTGCTGTAGAAAAAAGGAAATATAGAGGTACGTTTTCTTTGCTTTTTTTAGTGAAATGCATCCTCTGACTTTTCAAATTTAAAGGAAGGTCCTGGAAAAATGGTTAAAAAGTATGTTACCTTTCACTTTTTTGCCATTTAGGTCCATTCACCCCATACCCTCAATCATTGAGGCTTTGCTCGTGCGCGCCCTCTGTTGTTTTGCATTCATGTTTTTGATATAACAGGAGTAATATGAAGCAGCCAGGCCCTGCCTAAACCTGCTCTTGTAAGGGGTGTTTCAGTCCGGGCTGCTTTTAAAATGAGGTTCAATACAGGACAGCCAATCAGAACAGAGATAATTTACATATCAGTCTTAAAGGTACAAAAACAGCCCAATTAATTCTAAGAGATTAAAAGAGATTAGAAATGGTAAAGAGATTAGAAATGGTATAACCACCCAAAAAACAATAGGTGCACCTCAGAGAAAACAATGAATTAAAAGACAAATGTAGGCTTTGGGCCCTTTAACATTTTAAGTTGACCCAACTGTGTTTTTACAGTGTAGTAAAACACTTGGTATCGGATTGGGAAAAAGTTAAAAAATCTGTGATATTGCTCATCCTTTTTCTTTATTTTCATTCTCAGTGGTTTGTGAGCCTTTACCAGCTTTCCTACCTCTTTGTCCTTCTCTCCTTCTCTCAATCTCTCATGTTCTCAGGTATGCAGGCATGTTGCTTGGGATCACAAACACCTTCGGGACCATCCCAGGAATACTTGCACCAATTGCAGTCGGTTACCTTGCTAAAGACGTAAGGAGTTGATTGCATAATCTGTATGGCAAAATAATGCATTTTAGTAAAATATTAAATAAAAAAGGTTTATCCTCCCCCTCTGTTTCTCTTTTCCACTACAGCACTCTCTGGTGGGATGGAGGAAGGTATTCTGTGTGTCTGCAGGGGTGAGTGCCCTCGGAGCCTGCTTGTACACACTGTTTGGCACCGGAAAGATCCAACGCTGGGCAGTATCAGATGACAGGACAGAGACAGGGACAGAGAGGGAGCACTAGACATGTTTTCACGATGGGCTCTATTTTGCATTGTACAGCTGGTGAGCTGAAGCTACTCAGGATGCTATGTGGGCCTTTGTTCCTGTAGCCTATTTAGAGCTGGTAAAGGCAAAATGCTTTGTTATACAGAGGACTGTATACTGTTTTTATGCTGCTCTGGGGGTCCCTTTTAATACAGGTTAAAAGGACTATGCGTCTTTCACATGTGTTTTTCAACCATGTGCACCAATAATAGTGGCACTAATACTGTGATAGTTCTTATGTTGGATTGAAAGGTTTGTCTAAAAATGATGGGAACAAAGCACATTTTATACTTGTGTCATAGTCAGAATTGTTTAATTTCTTTTTTCACAATTTCTGTTTTGTATTTTAATCTTTTGTTTATACTTGAAGAGTATATCTTATGATAAAATGAAAAAATACAAATTGTTTACGCTTTTATTTGTTGCACTTTCACTGGGCAACAAAATTTTTTAGTACATTCACTACATTTCTGTGGATGCCATTATTGCTCAGGTCATAAAGCAGAATAAGCAATGCAGTCATAAATATCATTGTGTCATAGCAGTTTGATGGAAAATGTTGGATCATTTACTTGATCGTGTTATATTGTTGATGTATTGCCTTTATGTGTTCCTTATTGTTTTATATATAAAATAGCATTCTGTCAGAAAATAATTATGAATTATTTTTATTGAATTAACAATAGGCAATATTAATTGTGAGCATTTTCATAAATTACCTCATATCTTATTCATATTTTAATGTTCATCACTTGTAATGTACAATGATATTACTGTGCCATGTTTATATTGAAAATTGACTTCATCTGAAAGCCAAGATGATTCTGAAGGAAGAAATGTTTCCTTACCTGTCCTGTACTGTTATTTTGATATTGAGATCATTCCCAGCCCTTTAAACTATGGAACTTCTTACACAGACAAAATATGACTTTAAAGTCATTTTGGTTACTTCAGCTTTGAAGCAGTATTTGTATAACATTTCTTGTAGCAAATTTTCTTTTGCAAAGAGACACTGTCTTACCCCATCAAAGGATCATATATATGCATTTTTGTGCCTTTTTACAGCAATTACAGTAAGAAAAGAATACCAGGAAAGGTGTCATAAGCCCACTGTCTTGAAACCAGAGCTGTGGATTTGTAAATCAGAGTTTAAACATGGAGTTTATTTGAATTTATCAAAAACCTCAGAAGGAAAATTGTTTATGTAACTGAACTTTCACACATTTTAAAAATGTTTTGTTTTAATCTACCAGATATTTTGAGTGAAAGTCTGCACAGCTGCAGTATTTTGTATTTTGTCATCTGTAAGCAGATCTATTTTAAAGGTCCACATTTACTTTACTGAGAACTCTACATTTTGTTTGCACATTTGCCTATAAAGTTAGCATTCTTTTGTCTGTTGTTGCCTGTTTGGAAACATGAAAAATGAAATTATGACTTGTGAATGAATAGCTTACAAAATTATTCATGGAATGTACTTATAAAAACAAATATTTATGAAAAATAACAAAGTTGTTCACCTTATTGGAGGAAAACATCTTCAGTTTGATTTGTTTCATTGAAATTAAACATATAGTATACCTAAGGGTACAGCACTACAAAATTAGCTCCATTAGTCTCAAATGTGAGCATGTTAAACTATCTGTGAAACACAATGTCCACAGACACTGACCAATAAATATAATTAATAAACGCTTTTCATTGTATTTCCATTGACAAATTTGTTTATAAATTATACACGTATAATCTATGAACATTATACAAGATACAATGTCATCCATCTGAAATATATATTTCTTCTTTGTCATATGTTTGATGACTCACCTGACTGGAATGATCTTTTTAGTTTTAGCTCAAACCTAGACATACACAAAGCCTGATGTTAAATCTCTGCTTCTGAGTGCAAGAGAATCCCATAGAGCAATAATAAATGGGAGACATTATTGAGGAATAATCTATAGAATAGCAATAATAATGCAGTGGTGAATCAAATAAGCCTCCCAGTGAAATTCTGATAAAGACATAAAGACAGTCATTCTGGTGGTTTGGCTAAGGAAATGGCTCATTTTGAGAAGGGGCGATAGTTAAGCGTACTGCTGGAGATGACCCATCAGCTAGTGTGAAAAGTTCTTTTGCAGCCTTCATTCTTTCTAACAGACACAGAACAAAAATCTGACTGAACAAACGTCCTTTCCTTCCTGTGTAATTTATGTTGTATCAGTTGACCGAAGGAGGTAACAGAAAATTCAAAAGGTTGAACATTCAACATAGTTTTGCTGTGTAAACAAATCAAAAAATGTTATTATCAAGATTTTCCAAGATTGGATTTTATCAAGGTTGGCAATTATGGTATTAAAGTTCAATTGTTTGTGGCTTTATGATGGTAAAATTCAGGGTTATTATTGTACTTGATTGTGTTATATTTAGTGACGTCTTGGGCCAAATCATGGAAAGCAGACAAGAAAAAAAGTTTCATTCACCTATTTAGACAGACATCTAGCCTTACTAGACAAGGCACGGCGAACAACTTTAAAGGGGAACTCCACCAATTTTTCAATTACATAATTAAGTGGTTGAGATGTAAACAAAGTCACTCAGAGTGGTTTGACGTGAAATGCTCCAGACTAGAGAAACTTGCAGAGTCAGAATTGTTCACAGCAGTGGTGATAGGAACCAAATGTCTGAAGAGGTTATTGTCCCTGAATGCTCCCTCACAGAAAGGTATTACATGGATTGGTCAGATCAATGCTGCCTGATGTCTGACACAATGTTTTATGATAGTTTTGGCTTAAAATGTATTTTTATCCACTTATTTTAATCCGGCAGATTGTACAGCAGGGCTTTGTAGCAAAATATCTCAGAAAACTAGATTTAACACTGTTTTACCATCATCAACACTGCATGTAACCTGTAGGTTTACTGGTAGTTTTGGATAGTAAATAAAAAAGTTATATTTGTGCTGTAGACATCACGACCCTGGTTCCTATCACCACCGCTGTAAAGAAATCAGAGTCTCTAAGTTTATCTACATTGAGCAAATTAGTGGTTATATCAAATATCTGTTTAACATCCCACCAGTCTTCATCATGAACACAGAGTGACTGTAGCTGTAAAGAAAGCCAGCAGAGGGCGCCTGACCGGTGAAAAGCTGCTCAAAACACTCAAACCGTTTAGTTTAATCAGTACGTGACCCATTTATTCTCGCGAGAAAAAATCATAGTTCTTGTGCTGTGTTCAGTAACCTACAGTTACATGTAGAGCACACTGTGAGAACTTAACCGCCGAGGAGAGGCGCATGGCATCCGCTCTGACCCACCGAGCTTACGTCATACCGTCAGACCAGACCGGGCTGTACGACTGACCCGGATATGAATTCAGCAGGAGAAGCACGTGTTTTAAAGTAGTTATTTTTTCAATGTACAGTGAAAACACACACACACACACGTGTATATATCTAATGTAGCCACTCCAATAACATTATTCATTTTAAATAGTGGTGTACATGGTTGTATATGGTTCTATATAGAGGCTTTTTTTATATATTTCTATGCAGCACCAAAAAGGGTTCTGCTATTGTTATGATGTCACAATTGTAATAACAAAAGAGCCTTTTTGGTGCTATAGAACCATTTTTTAAAAGATTGTATGTAGAATCATACACATCACATTCTCCATCAATCTGAAGAACTATGAAATGGTTCTGTATTGAACTCATGGGTCCAAATAGAACCTTTGCCTTTACAAAAAGAACCCTTGAAGAACCATCTTGTTTAAGTGTGTACAAGTTAATAGGTGGTCAAAAAATTCATTCAATTAAAATGAAAAAAGGAAGAAAAAAAAAAGATTCAAGGAAAAGAGCCCATACCCAGCCAGAGCTGGTTTATACAAGTTATATCGCTACAGGTTCTCTGATATCCAGTGTGCATCTCAGGGAAGCAGTATTTAGAAAGGCTAAAAGGTGACTCAAAGTCTCAAAGTTTTTATTTCCCTCTTTTTTTTAATGTCTGCATGATTAAATTGTTATGATGTAGTCATTCAGAGTGGTTTATGTGAAATGCTCATTTTTAGAGAAACTTACCCAGTCAGAATTGTTCACAATAGTGCTAATAGGAACCAGAAGTCTGAAACATTCAATGACTCTAAGCCTCATAGAAAGGTATTACATGAAACAGTTACAATCACAGCTTGGCATTGCGGGGCAAAATATTTCCCAGTGATTTTTTTTTTTCAGATTTACCTCTATGTACCATTATCATCAATACAAATAAAACTCATAAGAAACATGTAGGTTCAAGGCTCATTTTGGAAGGTACATAAAACTACTATATCTGTGTTGACGTCACAAATTATGCAAACATTTTTAAAAATCAATGGAAGTCCTCTTTTTTTCAGAACAATGTCTGTATCTCTTAAAATGCCATGTCTCATAAACTCTTTGATTAGGGCAGGATTACTGGAGTGTCCTTCTTTCAGTACACCAACTGAATAAAAAATTTTGATAAACTGGTGAGCTTTCCAATACACACCACAAAATTCAGGAAACCAAAAGTGTAGTAATACAATTCTTATAAGGCATTTACATAGAGTTCACATTCTGTAGGATTCTCATTCATCTAACATTAAACTGACTCAATCTGTTGCTTAAGATACACGTTAGTACAATTTCAGTTTCAGTTTAATTGAAATATTCCCTTTGTTTGTTTTTCCTTGTTAGTTGATTTGACTTTTTATGTTCTTATTGTAAGAATTTCTTCTGTTAACTATATTTTTAGCATCTTCAGTATATTCAGTAAAAATATTTCATTTTTGCCATATTTATTCGTTAAAATATAAACAGAATTGTGAAAATGGAAAGTTAGATCTATAGAAGAATTTAATTTAAAACTAGGTTCCTTTTGGCTTCGTTTAGGGGTGAGGAAGTCTGACTCCACCTCACAACGGTTGTGAAACAAATGGGAAAAAAGGAACCTTTTTTCCACTTCAATAGGACTTATTTGCATTCTCAGGTTCTCAGACAGGTTCTCATCCACAGGGAGCTATTGAACATGCAAGTGAGTGTGACCACCCTCAAACATAACACCTCAATGCATAATTGATTGTGTGATTGAATTTACAAGTGTGAGCTCCTGGTTTCTAGAGGTTGGGGGCAGGTGGAAAGTTCAACTGTCTCTGACTTTGCAATTCACTGGAAATTCATTTTGTTTTATACCTTTGTTGTATCAGATATTAAGTGTTAGCACAAATGGTTTTTTTTTTATGATTACATCAAATATTTGCTTATTTTCTTTATCTTGCCAGATCATATGAGCAACTGTTATTAACTGTTACTATGGATGCCTTAAGATGGTACAGTTTGGTGAGATATTACGTGTGCTTATGTCTCAGGCATACATAAATAATTTAATAATACATGTGCATATAATACATTTTTTATATTATTTTCTGTCACAAGCTGATTGCTAACATACAATTGAGTGCAAAAGTTTGGGCACCCCTGCTCAAATAACATGTTTTGTTGATTTACTAAGTGAAACATCCTCTACAGGGAACACACTTCTGCACAGTTTAATGCCCTAGTACTGTTTATTTTCTAAATTTAACATATTGAGGAAAAAACACAAAATGAGGCCTGTGCAAACGTTATGACACATTTTATTTTTCCAATATGTTAAACTTGGCAAATAAATAGAAATTATGCACTATATATATAGAACTTATTTTCATTTAGAACATGTAATTTGACCAGAGGTGCTCACACTTTTGTAAATAAAATAACCACCACTAAAAATGTATGAAAACGTGAGGACCTCACATGTTTAACATGTCTGCCAGTTGTATGATCCCTGGAGAGAAAGCGAAGGCTGAGGCCCTTCCTCTCCAACTGCGTGACTCAACATTGAAACCCTGCCAGCCCTTGACACACATCCAGTGCCCCGGCACCTCCCCCAGCTCTGCCAAACTTCTGAAATCAAACGCCTAACATACTCTGACAGAATGAAGAGAATAATTATTTGTGTTAGCTAGCAGTACAGGCTAAAGTTTTGGCATTGCCCACCTGTCAGCTAGACTGGGTGGGAAGACCTAGTTTTTAATGCGGGTAAAACAAACTAACCAGGGGACAAAGGTCACATGAGCTTTGACGTTTTCCAGCAATAGGGAAGGTGAGTTGTGCTGAGTAGTGTGCAAGCATGAGTGTGTGAAAGTGAAGGGACCCTACAGACATCTGTAGACTCGTTGATCTGATCTATGTAAAAACACAGTGATTTCATGTCAAGCTCTCTCAATGCTCTAAGACAGAAAAGGAGAGAGAGAGAAAGAAAGAGTCACTGTCATCTCAATGCAGAAAGCACAGTTGAGCCCTCCAGTACTGTGGCAAGTTCTTATCAGTGTCAGCCATATGAGTGCCTGTTTTTTTCACTCTCTCCTTATCCTGACTCACTGCCCTACATCATACGTAACACCATGGGGACACCAGTGCAATGCTGTCTGCTAATGATTCACAGAAGGTCAAGATACTGTATATATCGAACTTTATTTGTGTGTAAATTGCCTCAGCTTAAAGTTCATCTTATTTACTGTTTATCAGCGTCTCAGGATAACCCCAGGACTTCATTAGCATATAGATTAGCTTTCTGCTGCTCCCCACTACACCCAATTTAAACTTAGGCTTAATGAAATAAACTACTAAAGTAAACC